ATCTATCTATCTATCTATCTAAATAAGACATAACTTTACCTTGATACAGTAACAAGAACTGATTCTAAGTTAGTTAAGCTTTAACGGCAATGATTTAAATTAGCTCTGAAATGTAAAGACGTAGTGTAGATAACAAAAAGCACAATGATAAATTATTAGTTCTTGTTTAGGCTAACATGTGCTCATATGTCCTGTCATAATTAGTGTTGTTTCATTTTAATACACAATCTGCTACGCTGTCATTCTCAGTTTAAAAGACGTAACAGAAAATAAATGAATGCAGAACCTTAGTCATAAGAAAACCATTGACAGGATTCAGAAAGCTAACAATTATTGTCTAAGAACTCTTCAAAGGTTTAGAAGAAAGTGTGCTTACTAAAAAGTTAGATATGAAGAGATGGGTTTGAAACTTTTGCCTAATGCCATATATATCAGTTAAAAGGTTTTAAGTTCATCACATTTTTCAACACATTTATACCCATTACAACATAGATTATGAGCCGATTATCTTAATTATACTGTGATTAGTCTAATATAAGAAATAAAAATACCTAAACACAAAACTTCAAAATAATCCATTTAATAAGCAACATGAACGTTTTTTTTTAGTTTCTGTATATAAAAAACATATAGTTGCCATGGGAGGATTGGGAAATCAATGGAAAACCACAAATTCATCATTTTGGTGAGAATACAGCTGGAGGAATATAATAGGTGTTGGTCACTAAAGCACAAAGAAAACATGCAGATAACTAATGTTAGCGATTCTGTGGTGCAATAAAAATATCTTCAATCTCTTCCATATCCCATTTCCAAATAAGATTTCCAAATAGAAATTAAGATTCCAATGTTACTCAATTATATATTTTAGGATTATTGATGCTTTGAAATTAAAAAAGAGAAGCGGAAAACAAAATAGTGAGAACAATGCTGTTGGCCGCTAAAAGATGGTAAAGTGAGCTGGTACCTAAAGTGGAAGGATGGATTGATGTCTTGTTAAGTATGTACAATATGGACAAGGTAACTATATCACTAGGATTGGAGACTGATAAATTTAGTAACATCTGGAATGCATGGTTATGATAAATATGACAACACAGACCTAACTTGGTTCAAAGTGCAAACTGTTCAGCAGATTATGGCTATTTTGAGAAAGATTAGAGATGCAAGAAAACTACATAGAATAATTACACAGCACCCTGGTTCAGTGTTTAATGTTGTTAGTTATTTCGTTATGGTTAAGGATTGATATTTTTTTAATTCTACATATATGTATGGTATATATATATCTATATATATATGCATGGGTGCGTATACTTATATACTGTATATCCAGTGTTGTTCCTTGGGCCAGACCATTAAGGCTATCCGCCTACCTCACAGTATGAGTGGGAATTAACATAGAACCATATTGGCTCTACGTCAAGGACTATCGATTAATAATCGGATATCCAAATGCTCCATAAACAAGGCTTTTTACGCAATCAAATCGGGTGAAACTAAAACTTTTCCACTTAGGGAGGCTGGATAGAGCATATTGACAAATGAAAAATATTCTTCATACTTTAACTGCAAAATGCTTGTATATTTTTTTCACAATTTTGGTATAATTGCTGGTCTAAGTGAGTCGCTCTGTCAGTTAAAGACATATTTTTTAAGCTCTATACTCCAGTTAATGATTAATCCATTACTAAATTAGTTGACGATTATTTCAATAATCGATTAATCCAATTCATCCAGCCCTAAATATAATAAAGCACTGTTAAAATGTAACTACTAGAGTAACCCTAACCAGCGGGATAGTATGAAAAAACTTTGGGCACTACGGATACTCTGACACCCAAAGTCTGAACTAACAGCTAAACACAAAGAATCTCAATTTTACAACATCCACAAACAGCAGCTCGTTTCACAATTAGATTGTCAGAAGATCCAACATATATCAATGGAGAACCACACAGTCACAGGGGGAAACCAACATCACCTTTCAAGCCATCTTTGCCAATGGTGTTATAGGCCAGCGCTCCAATCTGTATTTGGATAGCTGATGTTTTAATGCTGCATGAAGGTCCAACCTGATAAGAACATTCCAAGTCAGATGCATATCAAATACCCACCCATCATGTTGTTGGAGTCTGTTATGTACGGGCTATTTGTTAAGTCATTTCAATCATGATGAGTTTGTTCATGTAATATTTTGAAATCAGTTTCATGACCTGAACTGTAGATGCTTGGAAGCTGAAACACAATCCACCCCCTCTTTTCAAGGGGGGCATTTTCCTTTTTAACATGGATGACTTCTTCCACTCCTTTCTCTAATCCTCTTTCCTCTCTGTCTAAAATAATTTCCAATGTCAAAGCTGTGTTCTTTGTTCCTGATGTAAAGGTGTACAGCAGAATCTTGCCGAAAGGTGCCGTGCGTTTGTGTAGTTGTTGTTTAGTTACTTGTTGTTTAGTCCGATGTATTATGGAGATTGTCATCATGGCCTAGTATTGTTATTTCTTGTGAGCTAGGTTGCATGACCTCTAAAGTTTAAATCTTTATTTAAGCGAATCTGTTTGTTCTGAGATGTTCACCAGGACTCTTTAGGATTCCCGCCTCTTTTTTAAATCTAGGATCAAACAGTTTCAATGCTATAAAAACCTCTTTTGGAATTATATTAGCTATTCATTCTTTTGCCAACCATAACAATTATATACACAGAACAACATAGCGTAAATGTAACATTCCAGTATAAGTCTGTCATTAGAAAATTATTAACTGCAAAACCTAATTTCTAATCTATTGTCCTGCTGTAATCCATAGCCTAGAATTACTGATGCTGCTGATAACAAAGGCATCCAACTAAAAGATGGTGTAAGCAGACAGAAACAGGACAGTAGGACCAAACAGTCCACAGCTACTAAAGGCTCAACTGTCTGATCAGATGGTCAATAGCACCAAAGGGGATGGTCTCTTATCTTTCCTTTTTACTACGTATACCTTCATATTCCAGGCAGAGTCCTGTCATCCGCAAACTTACTCAGATGACTCTGCAGTCATTGGGTGCATTAAAGATGGACAAGAAGCTGAGTACAGAGAGCTGGTGAACTGATTTGCGGCATGATGTGGAAACAGCCATCTAAAGTTGTCACAAATGTCACAAAACAAGGGATGTAACTATATAGATTTTATTGCTATAACCAACATGGGAGGTGAACTAGAAGTGGTGAGGAGTATAGTATATACTTCTTTGCTCACCTGACCAACAGGTTTGACTGGAGACACCACTGTTAGCTGTCACACAGCAGACTGTACCTTTTGAGGAAGCTTATGTTCTTCATTCTTTGCAGCAATGGGGTGGAAATCTTCTATAAATCGAGCTTGCAGAGTATGATCTTATCTGTCATCATCTGTTGTGGTAGGAGCATCAACAAAAATAACTTCAATAAGCTTTAGAGGTTATCAGACGGGTTTGGTCTGATCTGTAAACTCCCCTGGAACCTCTGGAGATGATTTTACTAAGAAGAATTCTTCATAAATAACATTATTTAAAAGACCATTATGGAAGACCTTGAGCACCTTCAGAAGATTGGAGAACTATAACAGAGTGTTTTCAGTCACAGTTAACCCCAGAACCGCAGCCAAGCAGACTGTTGCAGAGGTTCCTTTCTGCATGCAGTTGTTAAAAAAAAAAATAATCCAAAACTTGTATAAAAAATAAAAAGAAACCTAGAGTTACTATAGCATTTAATTTCCCTTCAGGATCATTAAACTAACAAAAAAAAAAAAAAAAAAGATAAATGTAAAAATACCTTGAGATTGAGTGGATCATCACACATGTACTCTAAACTATATAGTTTAATCATTCTATATTATGTAGATTCATAGTAAATGATGAAATGATGATGAAACACACTTTTGTCTATTTATGTCTGTCACTCATCATATATCATTGGAATACACACAAGGTTACATCAGGCAGTTCTTTTATATAGCATTTTGGTTTGTAAATTTTTATAGAATTTTTGAAAGAGCATGGGCCACATAACATAAAACAAATAGAAATCTAAGGTAATATCTATCAATTACAGCATATTTATAAGCAAAAACATCGCTTAGAAAGAAACTGAGTGATATTCCCCTTTTTTTCTCATTTATAAATAATTTTGATAAATAATACCCTTTCATAATATAAGTTTATGCTTCATCACAAATGTATAATTTGACGGTACCAAACATAAATGTTTATTTTTAATACTGAAAGAAAGAAAGAAAGAAAGAAAGAAAGAAAGAAAGAAAGAAAGAAAGAAAGAAAGAAAGAAAGAAAGAAAGAAAGAAAGAAAGAAACTTTTTTTTACCACGATCTGAGACTGAAATTTGGATTATGTTGCAAATACCGCCACCTGTCGTCTGCCAGCAGTTACTGCAGGTGTACTGTAACTGTGACCCTAAAGTACTTCCGGTTGACCGGCGATCACTTCCGTTGGATCGAATCGTTCCACAGTTTGGAAGAAATGGCGGATCGGGGTGAATTATTCGGCAGTGATGGAGACAGCGACAATGATCAGAGAGGTAATTAAACCCTTTAGCTGCTTAATGTTGGTTTGCTGAAGCAGCTTTCTCTTTAGAAAATCATCAAGTTTTCCTCAATATGGCTTTGAGAGTGATGATTAAACGGTAAATGTAAAAAAGTTGACCGCTACTCTCTTTACACTGGATTTAAATAAAAGTAATTTATTGTCTTTCAGAGCTCTGTTTTTCATAAAACACCTGAACTCGAAATATTTTAAACGCACACGTGTTTTTTTACTGGCAGATAAATAAACCTTAAGCTGGTGACAACAACGAAATATTCACATTGGTTAATATGAGAAGCTAAAGTGATTGATTCTTTTCTTTATACTGCATTAATTTATCCGAGAGGACTTTATAAAGTTAGTCAGCTCAGTGAGAAAATGATTAATTAGTTCAATCTGAATGTCTTTAATACCTTTGTGATCTAAGAAAGCTTTATATATGTAGGTGCAGAGATAATAAAGGTCTGATTAGTGATCAGAAGCTGAACTTAAAAGTATTCAGGCTTCAATCAGGGATAGACTGATGCATTGCCTGAACCTGCAGATATTTTGGCCAATTTATTTTTTATTTTTTGTGCATTTCCTCTTTTTTTCACTTCAGATGCATTTAAGTAGTCATAAGTGCAATCAGCTCTCAATGTTTTGTAAGTAATCTTTGTGTTTAAATTGAAACTTGTGCAACATTTTTTATCATTGTATCATTTTTATCATGTAAATTGAAAAATAAACATTGGCTTAAAAAATGAGCTGCCCATATTGGAAATCTGGTTAGACTGATGTTTAAAAAATCAGTGTTGTCACTGGCCTTCATTTATCTATAATGGTTGCTCTCTACTTCAAATACATCAGCAAATAACGCATACTTTGATATGCTTTTTGTTTTCAGCTTAATATAAGTCCAAAAGGAGTTCAGGATTTATTTCTTTATATGTTTGATTCAAAGTTACGGCCTCTTAAAAGAGAAACTGCAGCACATTTTTAAAGAAAGTTATCATTTCAAATCAGCAGGTCAGAAACTTCAAAGACCTGTGCGAGGAAAAACCTGACTGGTGCCTCTTTTGTGTCATGTGGAAATATTAAAACTGGTTGTCTTTACTGCCAACAGAATCAGGCTCTGGATCTGGATCCGATTCGGAGCAGGAGAGACCTAGATCCGTCAGCAACGCCTCAGGCAGCGACAGTGAGAGGGAGCGGGATGATGACGATGATGATGAAGGTCAGGAAACGGGGAAGCCCAGCATGAACAAGGTTGGTACCCAGATGCAGCCATATTTAAAAAAATGTTTTATAGTTGTTAAGACTGATAAGTTATATCAGTGAACTTTCTGAGGAGGGCTTTATTGGATAGAAGGAAAACCATAGCGGCAGCACTTATAGGCTTCAAAATGACCTGAGTTAAGAACACGAGTGGAACCTTTAAAAATCACCTAACTGGTCAAAAGGGCAAAAAAGTGCTTGCACTTCTTGTGGAGGATGAGGAGAGCCCACCTGCCCCCACCAAACCCTCTACAGAAGCCCTACAAAGAGAGTTCTGACCAGCTGTCCCAGAATAGAAGAAGGTAAGATGAGTGGTGAGAACAGCAGATAGGATCATCTGGGCTCCTCTTCCCTCCATAAAACACATTTCATCCCAGCGTTGCATGTCCCGAGCCCATGACATCATCAGTGACCTCTCACACCCCCACCATGGACTGTCCTCCCTGCTGCCCTCTGGGAAGGGGCTTTGCAGCAGTCGTTGCCGGTCAAGCAGATTCCGAAAAAGCTTCTTCCCCACCGCTATCAGATAGGTGAAGATTTATTCAAAATTGAAGGAATACTGAACCAGCATGGCTACCACAGCAGCATGCTATTCCACCCGGTTTGCGTTTAGTTGGACCATCAATTAATTTGACCCCCAAACGCACCTCCAGCCTGTGTAAGGGCTATTTGACCAAGAAGGAGAGTGATAGGGTGCTGCACCAGATGACCTGGCCTCCACTATCACCGGACCTGAACCCAACCAAGATGGTTTGGGTTGAGCTGGACTGCAGAGTGAAGGCAGAAAGGCCAACAAGGGTTAAGCATCTCTGAGAACTCTTTAAAGACTGTTGGAAGTCTATATCTGGTGACTACCTCTGGAAGCTCATCAAGAGAATGCCAAGAGTGTGAGAAGCAGTAATCAAAGCAAAAGGCGACTACTTTGAAGAACCTAAAATATAAGACTTATTTTCAGTTGTTTCACTATTTTTTTTAAGTATATAATTCCACGTGTTTATTTATAGTTTTGATGCCTTCAGTGTTAATCTTCAATATTCATAGACATGAACATAAAGAAAACTCTTTGAATGAGAAGGTGTGTCCAAACTTTTGGTCTGAACTGTGTTTTAATGCACTGAACTTCCATATCAATGTGTTTGTTTGCACTATTTTTTTTCTCCCACATTGTTTACATTTGACCACTGCTGCTCTTTATGGAATGGAAATGTTCATTTACTGTCTGAAAAGCTGTACTAAACAAAATTGCATTTGTATATACACTCTGTGTATACAAAATGACAGTAAAAGTTGTCTAAGAAACTGCTAACAAGAATATTCCTCTTGAATTTACACATTTTCATGTACCGGTAATCAAAGTCTTCTAAATTAAAGGCTCAGTGTGAGTTAAAGGTTAGTCCTAGCCATGAGTGTCCTGCCAGCTCTAGGATTTCATCTTAAATGGTGTAGCCACCAGTGAAGAGCTTGCTCAGCCTCTTAACAGCAGTTGGGCTTGAGAAGCCTTGTGAGCTGATGAATGTTTTAGAAAAGAACCTGAGCGCATCAGGATCCAATCCTAGGGAGAAGTTTCTTCTCAGCGAGGGAACCTTCTTGCACTCTGCCGAAGAACGGAGTCGGATCTATTTGTCCTGGTAGAGGAAATCCTGATTTGGTAATCTCACATTAAACAGGATGGAGCAGCATATTACCAGGCAAGAATGACAAATATGTAAAATGCTAAGTGTTCTTAGCATGCCAGAGGGAACTGGTGGAGCTAAGAAGAAGGTTCAATGTTGTAATTCTTAACTTTTGGCTTTATTTTTTTACATTTACTTTATAAAATGCTTGTATTTCTTCTTCGGTAACCTATAGAGTTACAAAATAAAATCCAAAAATGCTGAAAAACATAGGACATGTTGTATGCTATTGAAGATTCCCAGTCATTCAGGTCATAGTCATTCCAAAAAAAGTAAAAAACAAAAAACAATCGGACGTTTTGCTTCCCATCCAGGAAACTTTTTCAATTCAAAATGTTCTAAGCTTTATAGAGTATGATAATAGGACATATCCTACCTATCAGGGTGGCCGTCACAGACTCCTTCAATCGGTTTGGTTTTGATTTGGTGTTCATAGTGGAACCTTCCCTCCTGCCTTATAGGAACTGTTCGGTGACGACAGTGAGGATGAGCAGCACAGTGGCAGCGATAACCAGTCCGAACAGTCGGGAAACCAGTCGGAGGCCAGCATGCACTCTGACCAGGGGGAGAACGACCACTCTGACGCGGAGCAGCACAGTGGGTCGGAGCACGACCAGAGAGAGGAGGATGAGGAGGACGAAGACGCGGGCAACCGGTCGGATGGTGGGAGCCCGGCAAGCAGCGGGATGTCTCCGGGTGGAAGCCCCCATTCTGAGAGGGGCAGTGTTCGTTCAGACAGAAGGTAGGACCACTTAATGTGGGTTTAATGGTGTTCTACACCGATTCTGGCCCAGTTCTGGACTGATGCATGCTCTACCTTAAAGACCCTCCAGTTAAACAGCAGGACATTTAAAATCATCCAGTTTCCGCTGACTGGGAGGTTGAGATTTGAATCTCTCAACATCTTAACCAACCATGTATGTAGAAGTGCTGTAATAATTTTTTTTGATTCAGAACTTGCTGCAATTTTTATTTTCCATTAGAGAATGGGGGGAATAAAACGTCAGAATTGACCTCAAAAACGTGTTTGATTATGTCCTTAAAAAAAACCCACCAGATTGCTGTATTGTGAGACAACCGTGCATTCTAATGCGTTTTCTAATCCGACACAAGTCGCCTGAAAAGAAAACACAGGACATCCTAAAAAATGCATCGTTTTCCTAACATATTTGGAAATTTAGCACAGATAATATCCAGTTTTATAAAAAAAAAAAAGATAGAAATGTGTATTTTTTTGTAAATTGTATCTAAAAATGCTATTTGTGCTTCGGATTAATTAAGGATTCCTCCCACATATATTTTCGTGGAATATGGCTGAAATCATACACGCGATTATCAAATTAGAGGCTTATGATCATTGCTGCATACCTTGTCTAAACATCAGAACAGGTTTGGTCGCTCTAGACTGTTGAAGTGACAGTGAAAACCAAATCCAAAGAGCAGTTTGTGGACTTCAGGATCAGTTTTAGTTTACAACAAGAAGCTCAAAATAATCTCTAAAATGTATTTGCAGGAGCTACATTATTATTATTGTTATAATTTTTCAATATACCTCACTCACTCTTTACTTTAGCGTGTTTCTTAGTGGAATCTGTCAAGCTGTCCGTCTTCAATTCATTTCACTTTGTGCACGTTTTGTTTTGGACCAGCATGCACAGCGATCCAAGGACGCCACAGTCAGGACCAGGCACCCCTCATTCCGACGGGGAAGCTTCTGGCAGAGAGAACCAGTCCGACGATGAGAAGTGGGGAGGGGAAGCTAAGAGCGACCAGTCTGAGGACGAGGAGGAGAAGCGTCACTATTCAGACGAGGACCGGGAGAACTCGGACGACGAAGCGCCCAGGAACAGACCAGGTACCGCCCCAAGCTTCTTCTGATTTCTGCTCCATGTGATCGATTTATATTAATATGAATAAGACAAAGCTTTCATCTTTAGGTTTCGTGCTTAATCTCAATTCTTCATATTTGCGTGCTTATGATTTCCTTTATTTCAGAGTCTGCAAAGGGCAGTGACAGCGAAGATGATTTCCTTAGACAAAAAAGCAAACCAAAAGCCGCATCGGATTCCGATTCAGACAGTGACGGAGGATCGCAAAAACGTACGAAATGTTTCTCCCCCATTAGAAGTGACATTTTGTTGCTTCTTTTTATGTCAAAGTGGATTTTTTCCCCCCCTGTTTACGTAGCAATGAAAGCAGCTGCAGATGATCTGTTTGGAGAAGCTGACGACATCTCTTCAGACAGCGACGCAGAGAAACCTCCCACCCCAGGACAGCCTCTGGTATCCATCAGCGCTCTGGATTGTAAAACCTTCCTTTTCAGTGAATTAGATTCCTACCGCTTATTTTATGCCTGGTATCTTTGTGAAGGACGGAGAGGACGGGATGGAGGGAGAGCAAGCAGAGGAGGAACCTGTCCCTGAGACTCGGATTGAGGTGGAGATCCCCAAAGTGAGCACAGACCTGGGATCAGACCTTTATTTTGTCAAGTTGCCCAACTTCTTATCTGTGGAGCCCAGGTCAGAACCACAGACAGTAAAAAATGAACCCTAATGACTGTTAAACATAAAATAAAAGCTTTGATTTTCTTTTATTAGACCCTTTGATCCCCAATACTATGAGGATGAGTTTGAGGATGAAGAAATGCTGGATGAGGAAGGAAGAACCAGACTCAAGCTCAAGGCACGTCTCTGCTGAATCAAAATGAAGCAATTTTTACGTCATAGTTGCTGAATGTTTTTTTCTCTTGTCCTAATGTCCAGGTGGAGAACACGATCAGGTGGAGAGTCAAACGAGACGAGGAGGGAAATGAAACACGAGAGAGCAACGCACGTATCGTCAAGTGGTCCGATGGCAGGTGTGTGTGTTACAAGCAGCGTAATGGTGCCGCCGTTTGAGTTTTAATATGTTTCTAAGTGTTCCGTTCTCCCCGCAGCATGTCCCTCCACCTGGGAAATGAAGTATTTGATGTTTACAAAGCTCCTCTCCAGGGAGACCACAACCATCTGTTTATCCGACAGGGCACAGGACTGCAGGGACAGGCTGTGTTCAAAACCAAACTCACATTCAGGTAACGTTGGGTCGACTGCTTAGGAAAGTTAGGAATGCAGCCTTAAAGCCAGCAGTTGAAGATAACCTTCATCTGTCTGGCTATCTGTCAGCAGAACAAGCAGCTAACATGCCTCAGTTTACCTTTCTTATGAGAACAATAAGGGTTCATTCTGAAATGTACTTTATTCTCTAAGTCTCTGGATCACCTTGTACTAGCTGGTCAGGTCTCTCTCTGTAAGAGCCGTCTAAGCCTCTTACTGCCTTAAAGTCCAGCTGCATGTTTTCAGAAAAACACGGGTCTGGTAAGACATTGGCGAGACCTGCCTTCATGTGCACCGGTCCAGCAGGCTCCCACATCGAGCACTACGGTTTGTTTTTGAGCTATAAGGAGATTAGAACCAAAGCTGTTCTTGGACTTTAAAGAGAGAGAGGTTCTTTTTCTTTTTTTTTTCTTTTTTCTTTTTTTTAAATAGTTTTGTCCTAAGAGGTTGTTAGTCTCTGGAGGGTGGGGAATACATTTATGTCATCTTAAATTGAATTTTCTCCAAATAAAGTAGACAAAATATAGAACTGAAACCTTTCTAGGAATAAGTCCAGGATGTGAACTTTCTAACTAAAATATCAATTTAACAGAAAGGTAGGCGGCTTTGGAGGAGAGATTGGATATCTTAAGAATGAAGTGAAGAAGTGAGCTTTTTCTTTCAGTGTTAACTTAAATGTAGAGGTGGGTAGAATACCCAAAAACGGTCAAGCAAAAGTAGCACCACATCATCTAATTTTAATTCATTAAAATAGCCATTCAAGTAATGACTCAAGAGTGAAGAACTGTTTGGTAAAAAAACAAACAAAAAAAACATGATTATAACATCTGCTTTAACACTTTAAAAGTGACATCACATTTAAAGTTTTGTTGTGTTTTTAAATAATGAAAAAAAAAAAAAAACATACAGTACTAATAAAATACAAATCCACGTGGAAGAAAGACCCTTCAAAATAAATTTAGAGTTTTTAAAACTTACAAATTCAACAGTTAAGGTATGTCAGAATGGGCCAAATGACAGTATAGTGTTTATTTCATTTACACTTGCCCTCCACATGATATGGGAGACTCAAACCAATAACAGGGTTTCTGCGGGTCATATTTTGACTGGGTCAAAATAATTAAAAGTCATTAAATTGTTATTTTTTCAATTAAGGTCTTAATTGGCATAAAAATTCACTAAATGTGTTTATTGTGGCATTTAAAATGCTTTCTTAAAAAAAACATTTTTATAAAAGCAATTTCGTCAGACATATTATAAGTCTGACGAAATACGCAAAGACGTATGTTCGGAAAAGAAGCTTGAGTCGGAGAAAAAGCTAGAGAATGGGGAAGAATGCCAATTTCATCAAAAGTGGTTGGAAAACGAGGAATCCGGGGCATGGCTGCAGCCTGTCGGCAGGTACCTGTTGGTGGCATTAAAATTTTTCTAAGAGCATTAAAAAGCATTAAATTAGAGTTATTCATTCCTGTATATACCCTGAATAAGCCTTGAGTACAAAAAAACAAAAACAAATTTTTGTCTCTGGTGCTTTTCTGCTTAAAACGTCATTAAACAAATCAAGACAGATTGGGCATTGAGAATCAATAATCGATTAGAACCGGCTCCAATCTTTCAATTCTCCTGGAATGGTTTTATATATATATATATATATA